GTGTTTCCCTCCGCGAGTGGCCCCTCTCCTACCGCCCCGCGACCGCTGGGTGACACCGGCGCGTCTCCTCGGGTGTCCCGTAGCCTTCAAGTGCTGAAAAATAATCGTCTTTGGCTTTACAGGACGCTGGAAGTCCTTGACAGCTCAGGAACTTTTTTAGCCTTTTTTTTTTTTTTTTAAACCCCTCCTCGTGTGTTTGCAGAAAAATTTCTGTCAGTTGTTTTTCCCTTTTCTTTTTTACATGAACATGTCACAGGAAAAAAAGAAAAAAAACAGGGGTTTGAGTAACTGCAGACGTGGAGAGGCAGGGATTTGTCGCAACTCCTGAATGCCCAACGCAATCTGAACAGTGATTAAGAAGTGTTTTTTTTTTCTTCTAGTTTTTGATGCAGTTTAGTAGTCATTGCAGATAACTAAGGGAGACTGATATTTTCAGTCTGAGCAGCAATCTGTGTACTTGAGTGATGGGTTTTGGATGCAGTTTTGAGATTGCTTGATAGAAGGTTTAGTTTTTGCACTTTGTGCGAGAATAGACTAGCTGCAGTTTTTTGTGCTTTTTCTGTAAGCTACAGGCAATGAGGGGAAAGTATTCCTTTAGAAAAAGATGGGGGCAAGTTATGAAAGCAGCCAGAAACTTCAAGAGACTTTAAACCTGAGGGTAAGAAGGTCATTTTGACTTGTATGTCATGTAAGGCTAGCTTTTTTTTTTTTTTATAAAGTTTTGTACAGGGAATCAAAAAATACATTATGATTATACAAGGCTGACTGTTGTTTTGACCTTGCCTGATACTATATTTCCCGTGGCAGCTAATAGCATGTTTTTGAAGAAGGGAATGAAGTAATGAGACCAGGTTGTATTTCTTGTTCTCCAGTATGGTCTCCCAGACCACAGTAATCTGTTTTTCAGATGTTCAGTTGTGTCGCTTCTGATGTATAGAGGTTAACATGATGGAGAACAATACCCCAGTTGGAAACCTGTTAGCATAAACCTACAAGTTACAATGCTCGCAGACTTTGCGAATCAAGGATTAAACCTCATATTTGACTCAAGGAATTGTTTTGTTAGGCACTATGTTCAGTCACAGGTCATTTTGCATTTCCTCATTAGAGGAGGATAATGTACTAAGCTGGAAGGACGGTTCTCTTTCTACACTAAATTAAAGACCCTAGGTCATTGTCACTTTGCAAGAAAGTGGCTTAAATAAGTCCACTAAAAAGGATGTTCTCTCTGCAGCTCTTCAGTTTGAGACCAGAACATCAACTTCCATATTTCTCATGAGCAGTATGGAAGCTAGATTTATTTCCAGCAGAATTTTTGAGATGAGTTGTTCAAAGCAAACTTTTGTTATTGCTTGCTGAAGGGTTAGTTTTGAGTTTCTGTGACTAGTGGAAAAGTGAATGTGGTTAGTGAATGTGGTGGTGAACGCAGAGGTTTTGTTGTACATAATATATGATTGAATCTGTCCTCTTTCTTCTTTTCCACAGCAATTTTCTTTAAATAAAGAAAAAATAGAAAACACTTTTTAATCAAACAGTTACTGAAACAATAGTCTTGATTATGCACAATAGTTACTGAAATACAATCTTTGCTAATCTTTCTATTTGCCCATGGAAGTAGTAAAAGAAGATTTTTGCAGAAATATTTTTTGTCAGAAACAGACATGTATGTGTCAGAGATTGATTGTGCTTTTAAAGAGGGACTTTCATTGCAGGAGTAAGTTATCAAGCTTTATGTTTGATTTCTGCAGTTCAACACTTACGACGTTCTACAGTTGATAACAGCATAAACCTGCTCTGTTTTTCAGTGTATGCCTTGTCTGTACAACCTGTAATGAAAGATTATGATTTTAGGAGTGATAACATGAATTTTCCAACCGTTGGCTCTTTGGTGTGACTGCTTTAGCTCAGGTTTATATAACATGTATCTTCTGACTGAAGAACGAGCTGTACCTCTGTATGAGCTAAGGATAGTAGTCTCTGCAAACAATATTCCTCTGTGGAGGAAAAAGGAAGAAAAGCCATCATATGAGAGATGTTACTCATGTTGCTTTGAAGTTTCTTGTGTACACTGATTAGCAGGACAATATTCCTAAAAAACCAAACCGAGCTAGAGTACACAAGACACTCTGGAGAAGATGCATAAAAGAGCTAATGGCGACTGAGCGTTTAACTCATGAGAGCAGTGACAGCTGGATAGTGAACTAGCTTTCATGCCTTTAGAAATCTTCCTTTTTGGATTAAGTTTCCTGCATGAGCAGTTAGACCTTAGTGTGATTCATAGTAACTGAAGTAGGAAACAGTCTTGAGAGCTCTGCATGGGGAGCTCATGATTTAAAAAAAAAAAAAAAAAAAAAGAATACATGCAGTTAAATCTTTGTTCTTTCAAGCCCTCCTATCGCACCATCTGCCAAAACTCTCTTGACTGCTTTTAGGAAAGAATGAGCAAGAAATGTTGTAGAAGTTCAGTTAATTGCACTCTGTTCTGGCAGGCCTGTCTTTTAGTTGGGGTCTACTTAATATGGTCTTTTAACTGAACCTGAATCTGAAGTAGATTGTATGATATATAAGTTTTTGGCCTTTCTTATTTCAAAGGTCAGTACCTCCCTGATTCACGCGCAGCACCAATTAAGATATATGGGCTTCTCGTGGTCATAGCTGTGGGTTTTTTCGTGGCATAGGACATTGAGCTGTAGGATATAGGTCAGATGAATTACACTACTAGTGTAAGTTCATAATTAGGCTGTGTGTATCCAGTGAGTGATTGCTGTAAAAGATACTAACTTTTGTTTACTGCTTCAGTAGCAGGAAGATGTCCTGGTGGGGAGCCCTGATTGGATCAGAAGTAATGATTGGGAGAAGTTGTTTTTTTCATGCTCGTGTTCCAATTCTGCAGTTTAAAGGATGTGTGAAGATCATTAATAGGATCAGCTTACAAATATGTGTTTTCCAGTGTTCTGTGCAGCTGTGTTTTGCATTCAGGAGCTTCCTTGTACCACGAGCAGTGCAGGTCATAGACAGTAACTGCCCCAAAGGGCTTATTCTTATATTAGAACAGGCAGAAAAAGAGGTA